AATGCCTAACTGGAAGAGAGGAAAATGTTTTAGTCTATTATTTTGTTGAGAACTTTAAAAATGTTTTACATATGCCAATATTGATTGAGAAATAATGTGAGCTGTTATGTCTGATACAAACGTTAATGCTTTGTGTAAAATACTTCATTTATGCAATTACCTGATAAGATTTCATATGCTTATGCACAGATGAGTAAACCTTATCATTCAACAGTGGAATGAAAAGCATCAAAGTGTTAGATTTCACAAAATTCTGCTACACATGGAAATTCAAATTGTGACAGGCACCTTAGTCATTCTTTCCTTTATACACCAATAGAATAGTTATGACAGCTTCTTTAGGTCAGTGAAAAATGATGTATCCCTCCACCTTCAAAATCTGAAAAACATTGAATAATAACCTATGTTATAGGCATTGTGACAATGAAAAAAAATTTACCAAATGCTTGTACACAGCGCCACATGGAGAGTCTTCTGATCACAACACATCAGCACTATATCTAACACTGGATGTGAGGTTCTGACAAGTCTAAAAGCACATTTCTCACAAGTACCCTGGAAGAAAGCACTGCTCTTGTTTTTCTACACAGGGTAAACAGAGCATTATGAAGCTTAGTTATTCAGGTGAGGGTACAATTTTGATTTTATTCTAGTTTTGCTGTTTTAACCACTAGATCATGTTTCCTCAATAATCTTTGAAAAAAATGGACAGAATTGATTCACCTATCTCTATTTTTGGTTGATTGTAGAGTTTATAGACTGGTTCAGATCAGATAATGCACAAATTCCCAAACAATGCTGCCAATTAAGATCTATATTAATGTGATTAAGACCCGATGTGGGAATTTGCATTTAATTTTTAGTGGCGTGAAGCAACATGTTTTACAAGTCGAATTACACTTTCTATCAGTAGTCTTAATAGATTTCAAACCTTTTAGAAGTTATTAACCATTATTCTTTGTCTTGCATCCCACCAAGATGATAAACTTGACCTGTCAAACTTTGCAAATAGTCCCTTACAGCCTACATTATAAGAGCAATTATCAAGACTCCATCAAGAATATGTACACAAAGTAATTTGTGCCAATAGGGAATATTATTAACTGTATCAATGTAGAATGGAGGGCTATAAACATGGTTGTAATATTTTGAAACGTTAGAAAAATTATTATTTTTTTCCAAGTGGGTCCCATGAAGATATATACTTTTTTGGATATTCCACAGTAATTCTCAATTCACTAATGTGCCAAACCAGAATGGTTCAACTATATTATCACTTATAAGAATTACTTCAGAAAAGGAACATAAGCCCACTAAAACCTTGCACATTATGTATAAACATACAAGCAAGGCATCCTTATATGTCTATACAAACTTCCAGTTTCTAAAGCTCATCATAGACACAGCCTTCTGAGAAACAAAATAATGCTATTTGGTAGCTCTTTCTTACAGAAAGTCTGTTTCTTCTTTTAAAAGCCCACACTGATTGATTTTTTTCTTTTGCATTGGAAGGTCAAATTGGAGCTATCACTTCAGAAATCAGCAAGGAGTGGACATTGGGTCTACAGAGTTTGTTCGCTCTTCCAACGAGTTCATCTGCACATCAATGTCTGGGGAGACCATATTCTTTTATCCTCCCAGTGCAACAAGCTTCAAATGAACCTAGAGTTCTGATTCTCAAAAGGGAATAGTCTTGATAAGTAGCATATCCTATTTGCCATTATCTATTTGTGTTGCAAGGTAATTCATTTCAGGTTGAAATCAAATTGTTTTAAGCTGAGCTAGTGTTTTTATTGGTGTCCTTCCAGTCGGCCTTCCCTTTTAAGTGCCACCGTATTTCAAACAAGCTGATGTAAAGGAAAAGATTACTGCTGCCAACGTGCATTGTAACAAAGGAACAAAGATGTGCAAGACCTGTTTTATGTTATTTATTTATTTTTAAAGCACTGATAGATGTATGAGAGGGCTAGACTGCTGCTGGGGGATTGAGCTGACTAGTCAATGAAGAGTCAGGAGAAATGTGTGATGGAAAAGAAAATATAACAGTATTTGTTAATATTTGCTATAAAACTGCCACTTAATTGAGCAAGGTAATATTTAAAATGTGTCATAAACATTGTACAAACTCTGAGAAGTACAACTCAATCATCGGGCAACACATACCATTGGTTTTAATTGCAATCTAATTATTTGGCGCATATATGCACTTTAGTGTTACTCCTACCAAAAAAAATTCGAGATAAATCAGTGCTCATGATCCACTGAATTTAAACTTGGACAGTTCCATAGTAAAAGAAGAAAACATTTAACTGATCTACTCCCCATTTTAACAAGAACAAAAACCCATCACAGAACTTATGTGAGGTAGTGTTTTATCCCAGTTTACTTAGAAATGGTTTAGATAACTGCCCCAATGTATTAAAAAACATGTTGGCATTTGAGTTAACATTTTTGTGGTTTTTTTTTTTTTTTTTTTGAGTTGGAGTCTCACTCTTGTCACCCAGACTGGAGCGCAGTGGCCACCCCGGCCACCACAGCCTTGACCTGCTGGGCTCCGGCGATCCTTCCGCCTCAGCCTTCCAAGTAGCTGGAATTACAGGCGTGTGCTACCACGCCCGGCTAATTTTTTGATTTGTTGTAGAGATGAGGTCTCGCCAAGTTGCCCAGGTGGGTCTTGAGCCCGCGGGCTCAGGCAATCCACTTACCTCAGCCTTACAAAGCGCAGGATTACAGGCTGAGCCACCAAGCCCGGCTGAGTTAAAATTTGCATGTGTCTCCATACAGGACCTGTTCTAAGATGGCTTACATATCACTGGAAAGCACAAAATTTAAAATATCTTTGGCCAATAGGGGCTATAGAAGCACAAAGAGCTGTTACGAGACTTTGCTCACTAATACAACTTTCCTAGGCAGACATTCTAGGGCGGGTTCTCCTATCTTTAAATTGCACACAGCCAATTTAAAGAAGCTTATGCTTAAACAACTATCCTGCCTGTACGAAGATAGTATTTCTGCCCAAAACAACATTGGTTAAGCCTTTTGATGGTGAGTATTATACAGTGTTTTCGCAATGGCCTTTCAGGGGTTTCGTTTTTTATTCAATTGGAACTGCCCCACACCCAGTCCTCCAAGTGGGGGAGAATTATTTCCTCAACAAATGGTGGAAGCAGACAGGTTGGAATGGGGGTATGAGGTGTAGTTTACAGAAGTTCATTCAAAATTATAATGCAGTTTCATATTTGGAAAACATGAACTTACTTGCTGTTTGCATAGTAAGGCTGGAGAAAGTAAAGCTCAACAATACTTGGCTGCCATAGGTCTATCTATGCCTGGTGCCTTGATTCTAAACAAATGAGGAGGCACGTTTGGAGAGGGAATTGTATATTTATCAAAAGGGCTATGGGTTGTAACTGAAAGAATGCCTATTGCTCAGGTCAGCCACTCACAGGTGATCTGTCTGAGAAAAACCCTTTCAGTCAGAAAGAAATCAGTTTTGAGTTAATCTGGAGAGTGGATGTTCACAGAGTAGTTGCCAGAGAAAGGGGCTCCGTCAGCTCTACCTACTCTGAGCAAATCTGCATCCAGGACCCTCCAAAAGATTCTCTCTCTTTTCTGAAGCTCCTGGGAGATGCTAGCCAAGCTGGGGATGTTTCTCAGGGTTGGGTGGGCCTCTTCATTCCAGAGCCTTCCCTGATCTTGTTTTCTAGAGACGTGATGGAGGGTTGCTGGAAGGATGCCATTCCATCCCCCGGATCATAGGCAAGGCTAGCCTCAGGTCAGGGTCCTGGCAGAGCATGCCTGAGGCCCTGAGCTAAAGAGAGGTTCTTGGTGCTGGGCCATTCTGTGAGGGGTTGGAGAAAGGAGAAACGTCTTGGCTTGCTCCTTTCCAGCAGCACCAGACTGTGGCCTAGCAGAGCAGTGCCACTGACAGAAGTCTGGGACAACATGGGGACCACACCCAAAGCTCGCCAGAGAAATGAACAGGCTTTCCTCACCTCAGCCACACCAGGGCTGCAGTGGTCTCAGGAAACTGACTTTTACTGTAAGTAAGAGTAATTTCTGTAAACACAAAACACAAGGTCAGAACACAGACCCTCAGTTATAGCTGACATCTTGGCCACTTTGGTTTCTGTGAGATTTGTCTTCTGTTCTCAGGAACATTCAAAGAGCTCAGCATGCCATTCAAAGAGAACATGTAGAAAAGATCAGTGAATAGCGGGTGAAAAGGAAAAGAGTGCAAAATGTATTTTGAATGTGGAAATTCAGTAACAAAATTTATAATCAAGTCTTAGATGAAGAGCAGCTTTTTAAAGTTCTCCGAGTGCTTTTCCCTATGTGATCTTGGAAGGGAAAAAAAAAAAAAAAGTAACAAAACTGCATTTGGTAGTGGTGATTGGAAGAGCCAATGTTTTTATTTCAGTAATTAAAGTCCTGATTAGTAGCACATTATATCATAAAAGTGGGTTTGAATTTTTATACAATCTGTTTTAACACTTGTATGCACACCTGTGTACATATATACTGATAGTATCTACGGTTTAAATCCTTAATTTTAAAAATTTGATAAAATTAAAATGTTAAATGTATACTATAATGAAAATACTACTGTAACACCAACCAGATGGCTTGTATTCCTTGGAAAATTATTTAAAGCATTTTGTATTATAGTGATAACTTCATTATTTCAAGAACTCCCTCTAATGGTAGGCAAACACAGCTCTTTGGCCTAGTGCGGTGTTTCCTGAATTTGCCTAATGTAAGAATCACTGAGAAGTTTATTAAAAGTATTACTCTCCAAGGCCCACCTCAGTCCCTCTGAATCTGAATCTCTAGAGGTGGAGGTTAGAATCTTCACTAATCTAAGAAATTCTTACAATCAACTAAGTTCCAAGCTCACCCTAGTAAATATCAAATGGGTTTGGAATTTTTTTTTTAAATCATAGGTTTGTAGACTTAGTCCGTTTGATCAGTTTTCATTTTTAAAACTTTTTAAATAGAAATATTTTTGAAATCATAGTTTTATTTGCCTTGAAAAAAGATGTATCGTGCATGACAACAAAATGTAAGCATTGACTTCTTGCCTAATTTGCATGTGACAACTGACATTCCTGTCTAAATGTCATCAAGCAGTAATTTAAAAAATTATATTTTACTACAGCTATACAGATTTAGAAAGAGTTAAAGTCTCTATTGACACAAATATCAAAGCAGTTTTTTAGAAATGCCTATATCCTAGAAATACAGGAACTTAAAATATTCAGGTAGTCTTCTTGCAAACACCTACCTGACTTTTACCCAAGGCGTAAAAATTAATAGATGGATTCATAAAACAGTTAGTAGAAAAAGAGTGTCCTGGTGGCTACATGGTTGTTAACACTGGTTATGCTGCATCAAGGACTGGCTGTGGGAGGTTTCTGTTTGTTACCTTCTATCTAGCCTCACAGTGGCTGTGCAAGGTGGGCACCATGACTTTGCCTAATGTAAAAGCTGATGTTTCAAAGGTAAAACTTGCCCAGCACCACATACGTCCAAGCTGGAGCCAACGTTTGTTCTCCAGTATGTATGCCAGTCTGCACTCTAAGTGACTCTATGGCACGAACAGCAGTTATACAGAAGCCAAAATGAGCTATTGGGAAGTATGGCAAGTATTGAATACACATTTAAATATGTCCTGTTTGAAGTTCCTACTGAATATAACACTATATGGTATATGGTGTCTATTTTTCCTTCTCTGTGTATCACTACAGTAAATTTTCATTTAAAGCAATTATGAGAAGCCTAATTCTCTTAAAATTTATTAAATCGATCTGTAAGCATGTGCTGATTCTTTGCCAATAATAATTTTCTAGCTGTCCAAATTACATCCTCAGGTTAATTTTTAAAACTCCTTTCTGTTTAACCACATTTTTCTCATACTTGGCTGATTTAAAAAATTCTAAAAATCTAAAGAATTTTTTCAAAGTCGTTGTAAACTGAAATGTTTGGAATTCCATGAAGGTAAATTTTCAAGAGAATCAGTCATTTAACTGCTAACTTCTAGAAAAGTATCTGCATTTTTGTGTGGTTTGATTTTTTTAAAAAATGAAAGCATTCAAATTTAAAGTGTTTGGGACGTAAGGAAAAAGAACCAAGACGCAGACTCAAAGTGATTATCCTTGATCCTTGATGTTTTTTCAATCCACTTTACCTGAGGGCAAAAAATTTTACTGCCAGCAAAAAGCTTTGCTAAAGTTGAGAATTAATTACATAATTAGTCACAGAGTTAGTAATATTTGGTACAGAAAGGTACAGTATAGCTTTAACTGAACATTGCATTGTGTCCCACAATTTTCTAAAATTTGAATTTTCAAGTTTTAAGAACATGATGGGATTCAAGGTAGATAAAACTTGACAATTATTTCATGGTAATACTATATGCTCAGTGTCTCTAAAAGTGTAGTTGATATAGATTTTACATACAATTCTGTATGTTTTGGTATTTTTGTGACAAAAGTTTTCTCTCATGACATCTGTTGAGGAATTAAATAAATTAGGCATCACTTTATTTTAAAGTGATTATATCTTTGTAATCATTAGTTTTGTCAATTTTTTTTCATGAGAAAAATCAACATTTAAAGGGTCCAAAAAGAAGCTGATAAAATTACTTGATTGTTTTTAAGAGATGTTTACATTCTTTGAGAGAGAAAATATCATAGGGAAGTAAAAACAACCAGTGCCCTCCCTCTCCAAAAAACCCACAGGCTATGGATAAAATTACTCTACGAATTCATTTTTTTAATGCATGGAAAATAGCAAAATTATCATGCCAACATAAAGAATATATACTGTCATTCATAAATGCCTAATTATAAAAAAATGACATAGTTATGGTTAGATGCAACTTAGCAATCTTATATAAGATGCAACTACATATTATATGATCATTCCTGTTATATATTACATTCAATCCTCATCAAAGTAAGCTGACTATGTATAAGTGGTATTATGAAATAAACATTTAATATCACAATAGGGTCATATTCCGCTACTGTACAACCATAGCATGCAAAGAACTATGCATTAGCTGTAAACAGTAAAGTGTCATTACCTTCCAGAAATCCAAAGAACGTGAAAAGTACATATATAGTACTAAACATCAATTATATTTAAATGACTTTCATATTGAACAAGGCTATATCATATACAGCAGCTTTGGATATCTCTGTCACTGTTCTTACATATATCTTGAAGTCACCCTGAAGTTAAGAAACTGCAATTCCAAACTACATCTGAAAATGCTACTGAGTTTTAGTGATTGTGGTAAACATTAGGACACAAATGATTGTATGTTTTAATGTGAAGACTGTTTTATTTTATTTTTTCTTTCTGCCATAATTCAGAGTTTTGAGTCATACACTGAATGTGGGCAGCAATGAAAGTATTTTCTAATCTGCAGATTTTTTTTCTCATGACACTGACGCATTCATGTTAGAAATAAGAATACTTGATGCTCACCAGCCAGTGTTCTTTTCTACTTATATTCTAAGTGAAATAGTTGGCAGAAAAAACTTGGGTCATATTATAACTTGAGGTATCACCTCTAAAATACATTTCATAACATTTGGAAAAGGTAGATAAAATCTAGCAGCTAGGAAAGGAAGGCCAAAAGAAAATGATCCATTCTTCTAAAAATGCAGATAGATCATTTAGGTCTGATCCAATGATTCCTAGGCAATTAAAAAATTACCATATTGGAGCAGAAACTTGTACACTGTAAAATAACTATTTCAGCTTTCTTCAGGTTGTGGTGTTAGAGGCTGTTTTTGGAAGGAGGAGAAAAATTGATTGCTGGACAGGCGTTTCCATGCTCTATCAGCTCTGATAATGAGTTAGGCAGTTGGCTTGGATGACGGGAATGTCCCCTACACTGAGAATTCTAATAAACCTCCTGTGAAGTTGCACATACCATCCATCCAAATGGACTCCTGGTCTGCATTCCAGTTAGGGAGAAAACTGTCATGTTCTCAAATTGAGTTTGGGCATAATATGGTCATGTGAAATATTTAAATACATTATCTACATCCTACTAAATGGAAATCTTGCTTTCACATTTACAATGAGATAAAACAGTATTCAAAGCCATTGCAATTTGTTCATTTCCTGTCCATATACAGATGATTTAAATTTGCTTATGAGGCAAAAACTGTACAATTCTCATCATTCAGGCATTATAAAATGTCTTTCCTTAAAGTCTTGGGATATAAACAATTGATTTATATGAATTACATATTTTTCATCTGCATTAAGAAACAATATACATATTTTTCCAGAGTAATTTAATGTTAGCTATAATAAGCCTAAGATAGTCGTAAAAACTGACTTTATCACCTGTGACCATCAATAGTCTTACCTTTATAAAACTCATGAACATTCTTTGGCCTCTTGGATCATTGCCCATTTGGAGGAAACTGTACTTGGGCCCTGGATGATACAGAGATTTGCCTCCATAAAGTCTGAGGCCATAGAACAGCTTTAACAGAAGCCACTTACAAAATAAAACATTACAAAATATACAGGAGTGGTTTTCATTTTTCAGACACAAGTTCCTTGACGTGTTGAGAGGTGCTTTCGATTTCGGACTCCTGAAGTCTTGTCTTTACTATCTGAAGGCTTCTGTTGTGAAATGTCTATTAGGGCACTGGCAATTGCAAGGCCTGGAAGAAAAAGAGAACGGCATTTAAATGCTTGCTTATACAAATGGTGACTATGGTGGCTTAGGGTCCTGTTTTGTATTGTTTTACATTTAGCCATCAAACATTTAGCCGTTTATTGGAAGTTAAGTAGTTAATCCTTTACCTAAAATGTTTCTTAATTTGGACATGTAAACTTCACACATTAAGAAGAACAAGAACCTAAGAGAGTTAACTGATTCTGACGTTGGACAATCAAATTCAATGTTTTGACAAAACACTGCATTTGGTTATAGACATGACTCTATAACTTAGCTTCTATGTCTGAACACAAGTTAGCTCTGGATGGATGTACCAGGAATTTTCTTTCTTTCTTTCTTTTTGAGTCAGTATTACTCTGTCACCCAGGCTGGAGTGCAGTGGCACGCTCACGGCCACCCCAGCGTCAACCTGCTAGGCTCAAGTGATCCTTCCACCTCAGCCTTCCAAGTAGCCAGAACTACAGGCAAGTGCTACTACACCTAGCTAATTTTTTGATATATTGTAGAGACAAGGTCTCACCAAGGTGCCCAGGCTGGTTGCAAAAGGAATTTTCAATGTTACTGTGTTTTGTTTTGTTATGTTTTGTTTTGTTTTGCTTTTTAGGAACAAAATTCTAGGTTTACAGAAAAATTTAACCAATATTGATACTAGATTATCAACTAAAATTCATAGTTTATATTAGGGTTGCTCTTTATGTTGTATGGTTCTATAATTTTTGACAAATGCATAATGTAATTTATCCATGGTTACAGTATCATACAAAATGATTTCACTGTGCTAAAAATCCCCCCATGCTTCACCGATTTATGCCTGTTTCTCCTAAGCCTCTGGCGACCGCTGATCTTCTTTTAATGTCTCTGTAATTTTGCCTTTTCCAGAATGTCATAGAGTTGGAATCATACAGTATGTAGACTTTCAGACTATCTTCTTTCACTTAGAGATATGTATTTAACGTACCTCATGTCTTTTTTTTTGGTCTCTGAATGGTTGACTTCTTTTTATCACCAAATAACATTTCATTGTATGAATGTACCATGGTTTATTTATGTATTCCTCTGTTGAAGGACATCTTGATTGTTCTTGCTCTAACTTTTGGCAATTGTGTATAAAGCTGTTATAAACATCTATGTACAGGTTTTTGGGGATATAAGTTGTTAATTCATAAATATCTAGGAGCCTGATTGTTGGGTCATATGGTAAGTTTATGTTTTAGCTTTTTTTAGTTTCTTAACTGCCAAACTGTCTTTCAAAAGTGACTGTACCATTTGTATTCTCACCAGCAATGAAGAAGAGTTCTTGTTGCTGTACATCTTTGCCAACACTTGGTTTTGTCAGTGTTTTGAATTTTATCCATTCTAGTAGGTGTACAGCAGTGTCTCATGGTTGTTTTAATTTTCAATCCCATAGTGACATATGATTTTGAGCATTTTTTGATATGTTTATTTACCATCTGTATATCTTCTTTAGTGAGGTGACTGTTCCCTTCTTTTGAGTTGTTTGCTTATTGTTGAGTTTTAAGAGTTCTTTGAAGATTTTTGATGCTAGATTTTTTTTGTAATCTTTATTTTTTTTTTACTTTTGATTTTTTTATTTTAAAGATGTGGGGTACAATTCAGGGTTAGGTATACAAATATTCATTATGCAGGTACCCTTGTTGATGAGGTATGTCCCCTCCGCCGGCAGATTCCCACTACTGGCAATCCCGCATTCCCGCTCCCCGCAGCAGTTTCCCACTACTGCTTATCTTTTTCTTATAGCATTTCAATAATTGTTCAAGGTCTGCTTATGAGTGAGAATATGTAATACTCAGTTCTTTGTTTCTGTGATAGATTGCTCAGTATTAGACTCTAAGTCCATCCAGGTTAGTTTTTTTTAAAATCATGTATGTGTTTTGCAAATATTTTGTCCCATTCTGTGGTTTGTCTTTTTATCCTCTCAAACTGTTTTTCAGACGTAAGAAAGCACCTAAGTAGAGAGCTATGCTATGCACGAAGGGACATGGAAGGAAGACAACCTGTTGAAATTTGGCTGATAAGTGTCTTAATATTTGAAAAGGACCTTAAGTATTATTGACAGAATATGACCACAAAAGCAGAATTCTAGCTATCATAGCTGATTAAAACACTCTTGTTTTGTTACATTAATTTGTTTTGTTGCATGTTTGTCCATTGATTGACAAGAACATTTGGTAAGATGCTCAGAGATAATAAAGACTTTACTAAATTTATATAAGCAGTGGGTCAACCAGATACACACTTATCTGACTTATCACAGCTACACATGAATCATTTTAATTTCTGTTGAGTCCCATATAATTCTTGAGTAAAACAAAATGTGTCAAATCACTGTACTAAATCAAGAGGCCAGATTGCTTGGCTTTGTTTAAGAAGAGGTCACCAGAGGACTAGTTCATTTTCCTTTCTCCAAGGACTTGGAGACTCGAATTTGAATTGAGCTGACCCAATCCCCGAGCCCCCACAGATATCTCCATGTGTTGCTTCTAGAGGAAGACCTCACTTTTGGATCTTAGCCTGTGTAAGATGTCATTGAATTATTTCATTCCTGCAGGTTGATTTATTCTAAGTGAGCTTTGAGTATGACCTGGCAAGAAGAGAACTCCAGAGATTTATGAACAGAAAGAGATGCCAATGAAGGGGCATGGGCACTGTAAGAGGAGGGCAAGCTAGCCTAGTCTAGTGTTGTGGGAGTCAAGGGAGCGAGCTCATGGTGTACCAAATGGGCCAGCAGGGAAGACCACTAGATTTTCTCAAACAAGATTTTGGTGATCTTTGAGTCATCTCTATAACTGAGGATAGAAGCCTGGAAGTTAAGCAAGGAATGGGGTGAGAGAAAGTGTGGCCAGCGGAACATAAGTTCCATGTATACAACATTTGGCAATAGGAAGAGATAATAAAGCCTCTTGACACAGGGAAAGGAGGAAGGTCAGTTGAAATATATGTGGATGCATAGGATTATATGAGTATGTACTTTTTCAAAAGAAAAGGGAGCCTCAAATACATTTGAAATCAGAAGAGAAGGCATTTGTGGAGAGAGAGAAATTTATGGTGTTAAAAAGAAAAGGGAGCCGGGCTCAGTGGCTCAACCTGTAATCCCGCGCCTTTGGGAGGCTGAGGTGAGTGGATTGCCTGAGCCCGCGGGTTCGAGACCCACCTGGGCAGCGAGACCTCATCTCTACAATAAATCAAAAAATCATCTGGGCGTGGTGGCGCATGCCTGTAATTCCAGCTACTTGGAAGGCTGAGGTGGAAGGATCGCTGGAGCCCAGCAGGCAAGGCTGCGGTGGCCGGGAGCAGCCACTGCACTCCAGTCTGGGTGACAGAGTGAGACTCCAACTCAAAGAAAAAAAAAAAGAAAAGGGATTACAAAATACAAAAGTCACTGACTAGGCTAATAATCTTAAACATTTATCTTTTTAAGAGTTGCTGTTAGCTGGGCTCGGTGGCTCAGCCTGTAATCCCGCGCCTTTGGGAGGCTGAGGTGAGTGGATTGCCTGAGCCCGCGGGTTCGAGACCCACCTGGGCAGCGAGACCTCATCTCTACAATAAATCAAAAAATCATCTGGGCGTGGTGGCGCATGCCTGTAATTCCAGCTACTTGGAAGGCTGAGGTGGAAGGATCGCTGGAGCCCAGCAGGCAAGGCTGCGGTGGCCGGGAGCAGCCACTGCACTCCAGTCTGGGTGACAGAGTGAGACTCCAACTCAAAGAAAAAAAAAAAGAAAAGGGATCACAAAATACAAAAGTCACTGACTAGGCTAATAATCTTAAACATTTATCTTTTTAAGAGTTGCTGTTAGCTGGGCTCGGTGGCTCAGCCTGTAATCCCGCGCCTTTGGGAGGCTGAGGTGAGTGGATTGCCTGAGCCCGCGGGTTCGAGACCCACCTGGGCAGCGAGACCTCATCTCTACAATAAATCAAAAAATCATCTGGGCGTGGTGGCGCATGCCTGTAATTCCAGCTACTTGGAAGGCTGAGGTGGAAGGATCGCTGGAGCCCAGCAGGCAAGGCTGCGGTGGCCGGGAGCAGCCACTGCACTCCAGTCTGGGTGACAGAGTGAGACTCCAACTCAAAGAAAAAAAAAAAGAAAAGGGATCACAAAATACAAAAGTCACTGACTAGGCTAATAATCTTAAACATTTATCTTTTTAAGAGTTGCTGTTAGCTGGGCTCGGTGGCTCAGCCTGTAATCCCGCGCCTTTGGGAGGCTGAGGTGAGTGGATTGCCTGAGCCCGCGGGTTCGAGACCCACCTGGGCAGCGAGACCTCATCTCTACAATAAATCAAAAAATCATCTGGGCGTGGTGGCGCATGCCTGTAATTCCAGCTACTTGGAAGGCTGAGGTGGAAGGATCGCTGGAGCCCAGCAGGCAAGGCTGCGGTGGCCGGGAGCAGCCACTGCACTCCAGTCTGGGTGACAGAGTGAGACTCCAACTCAAAGAAAAAAAAAAAGAAAAGGGATCACAAAATACAAAAGTCACTGACTAGGCTAATAATCTTAAACATTTATCTTTTTAAGAGTTGCTGTTAGCTGGGCTCGGTGGCTCAGCCTGTAATCCCGCGCCTTTGGGAGGCTGAGGTGAGTGGATTGCCTGAGCCCGCGGGTTCGAGACCCACCTGGGCAGCGAGACCTCATCTCTACAATAAATCAAAAAATCATCTGGGCGTGGTGGCGCATGCCTGTAATTCCAGCTACTTGGAAGGCTGAGGTGGAAGGATCGCTGGAGCCCAGCAGGCAAGGCTGCGGTGGCCGGGAGCAGCCACTGCACTCCAGTCTGGGTGACAGAGTGAGACTCCAACTCAAAAAAAAAAAAAAGAAAAAAAGAGTTGCTGTTAAGAAATGTGTCCTTTTAGGATACTAAATGTTATCCTGAATTTCTTAGAGATATTCCAAATTCAAAGTTTACATAAAAATTGTTTCCTGGCCTTTGAAGATCACATGTGAACTTCTGAGGTGTCCAACATAGA